AGAAGGAAGAAGAAAAAAAAAAAAAGGTGTGAAAACGACGTTTTGGCACCTTAAGCAACTCTGGCCATGACTTTTTCGAACTACTTAGCGGGACTGTTAAAAAAAAATTGAACTTTCTGATCTTGGGTAGAGCTATTTAAAAAATTATAAAAATTATAAAAAAAACCAGATAATAAATCAAAAAAAAATCAACTATTATTATTATTTTTTTCCTACATGAACTTTTATCAAAATTTTTACTTTTTTTTTAAAACTTTTTCTATCCGTCTAATTAAGTAAAACAAAGTCTACAATTTTAAAAGTTTATTAAGAAAAATAAACAAATAAACAAATAAAGAAATCCTAAACACAAGGGATCCACACAATTTTTCTATGAGTAAGGTTAGGGGTCTCAAATAATTTATTAATTTTTTTATCAAACCTCTTATATAAGGTCCTGTTTGGTGTACCTGTTAAAACAACTTATAGATTATAGCTTAACAGATTATAGATTATGACTTTAATCAGAAGTTGTCAATCTGTTTGGTGTAGCTGTTGGATTATATATTTAAGTTGCTGAGTAGTGTTTGTTAAATAAGTTGTGAAATAGCTTTTTCAATTAATTTTTATTTTTTGTTTGTCTACATTTCTCATAAAAAAAAAAATAATAATCTATAGTCCATTTGAGTCTTTTTCTATTTTTAAAAAAATAAAAAATAAAAAAATTTAAGAGTATAACCATAAATTAACATGTCCACAGCAGAAGCTGATAATCAGAAGTAAGGGGTGAACAGCTTCTCAGAATCAACTTTTTTGAGTTAAAATAAGCTGATAGAATCAGAAGCTGTTTGAAATAAATTTAACCAAACAGTCTAAAATAACTTTTTCAAAGCAAAAAGCCATAAGTTGGCTCTGAAAAGTTGAAACAAACACCCCCTAAGTGTGAGACTTATACACTCACATGTGTGGATCTCACATGTATGTGAGAAGTTTAGTAAAAAATTTGATAAATTATATAAATTTAATAAAAAATTTAATAAATCATTTAAAATTTATAACATTTTTATTTTTCTGGTGTGTATAGCAAAGTTGTGCCAATAAAGTGTACATATATCATCTACAGGCGGTACAACATTCGGTGTCGATTACTGTCATATGATAGCTATCTCAAGTGGACTGGTAGTAGTAGTCTTTAACTTTTTCAAAGCAAAAAGCCATAAGTTGGCTCTGAAAAGTTGAAACAAATACTCCCTAAGTGTGAGACTTATACACTCACATGTGTGGATCTCACATGTATGTGAGAAGTTTAATAAAAAATTTGATAAATTATATAAATTTAATAAATTATTTAAAATTTATAATATTTTTATTTTTCTGGTGTGTATAGCAAAGTTGTGCCAATAAAGTGTACATATATCATCTACAGGCGGTACAACATTCGGTGTCGATTACTGTCATATGATAGCTATCTCAAGTGGACTGGTAGTAGTAGTCTTCAAGTGAAAAACGATGTCTATTTTCTTCGTTCATCGAATCTACGATTAAAAATGGCAAAACATAGGTTGTGTTTGAATTAGTTTTAAAATTATGATTTAAATGTAGAGTTATAATTTAAGTGTGGAGTTATGAGCTGAGTTTTAAAAATATTTTTTTTTTTGATTATTTATTTTGAAAAGAGTTTTTAAATTTTGAAAAGAGTTTTGAAATTTTTTCGATTTATTTTTTTAAAATATTTAAAAATGTTTAAGAAAATTTATTTTTTATTTTAAATATATAATTGTTATTTAAATATTTTAATTTTTTTAATATTTTAAACTTAAAACACAACTCCACACTCAAATCGTAACCAAATACATAACTCAATTAAATTCAAAACACAACTCTACACTTAATCGTAATCAAACACACAACTCAAAACTTAGTTTAAAAGCTATTTTTAAAACTCATAATCAAATACATAACTCAAAACTCAAGCTAGTTAAAAGCTAACTTTTTGACTTTTTTTAAAAAATGTTTAAAAAGTAGAGAGTTAATGTGACAAAAAATAGGTTAAAAACCAAAAAATATCTTTTTACTTCGTTCTCAAAAGAGACTATAACAAAACTCTTTTCAAAATTCATAACCAAATAAATTTCTCTTTCCAAAACTCAATTTAAAATTTCAAAACTCAATTTAAAATCCATAATTCCAAATACGACTTCATATTCAAATAATGATTCTACAAATAATTTTAAAAAATAAAATAAAATAATATATATTTTTAAATTTTTTCTTTTAAAATATAATTTTAAAAAATGTTTTGAATTGAGTTTTAAATTGTACGTTTGGTTATGAATTTTAAAAATAATTTTTGAATTAAGTTTTAAATAATTTTGAATTATCTGTTTAATTATGAGTTTTGAAATTTTTTGATTAGAATTGTGATTCTAAAAGAGAACCAAACATGGTCATAGACATCCGTCAAGTCTCTCCGACTCCCGAAATCTAATGGGATGAATTTAGGGATAGTCGAATAAGGTAAATTCGAATTTAGAGAATTTTTTTAAAAATTCGATTGGATTCAAGTTGGGGCCAAGATAGAATATTTTTTTATTTGACCCTTACCCGACCAGCAAATAAAGTAATAAACAAATAATAATTTTATTTATATATGTAATATGTGTATAATATTGTTAAATTTTTATAGAATATATATAATATCTATTGAGTTTAGTATATGTACAAGATGTAATATATTTTTTAATTATAAATAATATTTTTTAGCATTAATTATTAAATTTTAATATTATTATTAAATTTCTTATTGTGTTGCAGATTGAGTAGAGTCGGAGGTCACTGAAGGGGAGGATATAAATTAATGACAACATTAATTTTTTTTTTCTCATAATAAACAACAATGATATATTGCTAAACTTAAATATTAAGAGTTCATTTTGACAAATGTGAATTTTAAATTAAAAAATTTGAGGTTAAATTTTATACAATTTTGGGGAGTAACTACTTTAGGTGGATTGAAAAATAAAAAAAAGAAGATAAGTTAAAATAGAAATGATATATTTTAGTAGATAAATTTTATAAAACACACCACAAAAAAAGTGTCTATCATATGTCGCTATTATGATCTTTGGCTCCGTTTGGCAAGAGCTAAACGGGGTTTTTTTGGCTATTTTAGTCACAAAAGACAAAATAGGCTATTTTAGCCACAAAAAACAAAATATCACATTCAACCCATAATCATTGCATTCTTCTCTCACAAAAAAGGTCCAAAAAGCCAAAAAGTCCTTCCCAAACCAAACTTTTTAGCCCAGGCTAAAATAGTCAAAAAAGTCAAAAAGTCAAAAAGCCAACCCACTTTCCAAACGGAGGCTTTGTGGTTTTTAGTTATGACACATTGTAGTGTTGGATATAATTTACTTATAATTTATTGTGGTTGTTATTTTGGTTATGACTAATCTTTAGTTATGCATAAAGTAATAGTTAGTTATGACTCATTATGATATTAATTATGATTTATTGTAATTTTTTTATTATGATTGAAGATGTGTTACTTGGTTATAATTTATATAATGAGCAATGATACAGAGCTCTAAAAATATGAACTCTAGTGATGTGGCAAGGTAAAAAAATGAAAAAATAAAAATTAAAAATTAAAACATCACATCACATGGTGAGACCTACCATTAGAGTTCTCTCTAGAGCTTCCAAACATTTTTTAGTTATGACACTTTATAATATCAATATCAAAAAGTCATAACAGAGGGACACTATTACAATTTTTAAAAAGGGATACTATTGTAATTTTATAGAGAATATATATATATATATGTATATAATGTAATTTATATATATAGGGCTACTAATCAGCATGCTTGGTTAGAGTTTTCCAAAAACTCTTTTAAGAAAATTCTACTTTCTTATTTTTCGTGTTTTTTTTTTTGTTTTTACAGAATTTTTTTAATATTTTAAGCAAATTTTTTTACTTTTTAGACATACCTAACATAAATATACCTAAAAAGTAAAAAATTTGTGAAGAAACCTTTTAAAAATTCACTAAATACCAAAAATACAAAAAAAAATACGAGAATTCAGTATATTTTTTGTATTTTTATGTATTTATTAATTTTTTAAAATATTTTTTCACAAATTTTTTACTTTTTAGATACATCTAAATAAGGTGCATCTAAAAAAATAAAAAAAATGTTTAAAATTTTAAAAATACTCACTAAAAATAAAAAAACATGAAAATCAAAAAACTCAATTTTCAAAAAACTTAATCTAAAAAACTCAAACTAAACACACTGAATATAATTATCCAAACTTCAAGGGCACGTGCTCCCTAGTACTATGCTGCCTCCATCCCTCTGTCAGGAGTAGGGGTTATATTTGCGAGTTGGGATAGGGGTCGATGAGAGCTTCATAAGGGTCTGGTCGGGGGTGTGAGCAAGTGGTAGAAATGAAAGTAGAGGTGGGGGTGGGGGCCAGACTTATATTTTACCCATTGTCATCTCTACCCATAATTTTAATTTAAGAAAATTAAGTTTACTTTTTTAAAAATTAAATTTTTTATTTTTATTTATAGTAATTTTTCAACATTTTAAATATTTTATTTTTATTTTTTAGATACACATAATTTAGATACAATTAAAAAGTAAAATATTTATAAAAAATATATAAAAAATTCAATAAATACATAAGAATACAAAAATGTACTAAATTTTTATATTTATTTTGTATTTTTCATATTTGATAACTTTAAAAAAAAATTTATCTATAAATATTATACTTTTTAAATGTATTTAGATTAGGTATATCTAAAAAATATATATTTTTTAAAATATTAGACTCAAAATAAAAAAAAATAGGAAAAATAAAAAAATTAATCTTCGTAGATCAATTATCTCAAACCAAATAAGGTGAGGTTTCACATAAAGAAAGGGCTACTTTGGTAATTTCAACAGCAGACAAGATTATTACCGAAACCGCGGTAAACACTCCCACTATAAATACTCACCGCCTCTCAACCCCACTTCTGAAACCTTCTCTCCCTATATATATTTCCCTCTCTCTCCATACTCTCTCTTCCCCTGTTATTTGGTTTTTGTTTTCTGTTTGGAAGAAAAGGAAAGAAAAGAAAAAACAAAAAAAGAAGAAGAAGAAAGTGCTCTGCAATCATGTTGGTTTACCAGGATCTCATCAGCGGTACTTTTTTCTTGAGCTTTGTTATCTATATGTTTGTATTTGTCGTATATAAGACTGCTTTCCTTTGTGTAGAATTGTATAGCGTTCTTGTTTCTGATGTGTTTTTTCAAGGCTTGTCATATAGAATTTCATATGTTTTATTTTAGTTTATTTTATTTTAAAGTTGGTTCAATCTAGTCCCTTGCTTTAAGGATTTCATGATTCATAGCTAGTTCTGCAACTGTGTTACTGTGTGTTCTGTTTGGAATCTGAAGCTATAGGCTTTGTCTAACTGGATGTTGTGGGATGTATTGGATATTAAATTCTTGATTGCTGTTGTTGTTATTGTTATTGTTATTGTTTTTGTTGTTGTTATTGTTATTGTTATTGTTATTTATTTATTATTTTATGACCGGATGTTCGGATCAGTTTACGCGCACTCGACTAAGTCTGGGCCTTGACTAACCACCGGGCAAACTTCTAGTGGCTACAAAGTTTGCGATTGTGGTTTCGAACCTGCCACCTGTTGGTCCACTAAGCCAAACCGCTTGGGTTATTATTATTATTATTTTTTTTGCACACAAGGATTTTGTCTATGTGGTTGTAGGTATAGAACAGATGATTATTATTTTTTTAATTATATATCTTAATAGTAAGATAAAAGAAAATAGATTTGGTAATTCTCTTTTCTATTTGGATTTTATGTAATTGGAAAAGAGTCCCTATAGCTAAGCCAAACACATGATATGAAGACAAATTCCGTTGATCGCAGACGAGTTTAATTGCATCGGGTTGGTTTCTAATATATTTTGAACCAAATAAATATAATGTAATTATTAAAATACTACAAAGAGCAAAAAGAAGCTGTTGTATGGTTTCTTTTATAATAAAGGCAAATTAATTTGCGAAGTAAAATAATATGAAATTTAAAGTTGCAAGAATGTAAATCAGTGATGAGCAGTATGAATGTAAGTCATAGTATCAAGATGTGTGTTGTTGAGTGAGAAAGGGGAGACTAAAGCTGATACAGGGACATAAAGAATGAATTGTAATTGTTTAATGAATTCCTTTGGGAGTATTAAGTTACTTATACAGTAGAAACATAAAGTAAGACAAGATGTCACTTATACAGGGAATGGATGGCCAAATAAAACATGGAGAGTCCAGCTACTTCAGAGCCATGAAAGTTTTTGTAGAGCAGGCCTTATACACACTGTGTTTATTCTTTAAATTTTGCAGGGTCATGACCCTCCCTAACTACCCTCTTCCTCCTCCCCTAGATATAGGCTGGCTGTTAGTTTTTGGGTGGTTTTATGTATATGGGTTCCAGAGTCTTAAAAAAGCTCGCAAGTTTTAGCCTCTGTTTGGGAAGTGGGTTGGCTTTTTGGCTTTTTTAGCTATTTTAGCCTGGGCTTAAAAGCTTGGTTTGGGAAGGGCTTTTTGACTTTTTGGCTTTTTTGAGTTTTTTTGTGAGAGAAGAATGTAATGATTATGGGTTGGATGTGATGTTTTGTTTGTTATGGCTAAAATAGTCTATTTTGTTTTTTGTGGCTAAAATAGCCAAAAAAGCCCAAACCATGGCTTCGCAAACGAATTAGTTTATTTAGTTCTCTTCGGCTTATTGCCCACCTCTTTAATCTTGCACCTGAAGCAACCTCTCCTTCTCTCTTAGTTGACGGGAACAATTTTTTTTTTTTTGTTAATTTTTTTTTTATATTTTAAATTTGGCGGACTTGTGTTTGGAACATTTGACAAATGATGATCCATTGACCTTTTCTTCTTAAGAAACTCCTGCTTTGTCCTTGTCCTTGTCCTTGAGTAACATGATAGATTGTCTTGGTACTTGATGTTTCATGAATGCATTTATATTGTAGTTCCAGCATAGCATTGTTTAACTATCTACTAATAAGTGTGTATTCCACTGCTACGGTAACTCCGCCGTGAGATAATGACAAAACTGTCCCTTTTACTTCCCAAATGGACCTTGCCACCTTGGTCATGTAGTACTTGTGGATGCAGAGTTGCATTAGCCTTCTCAGTAACCTCCATTGCCCTGGTTTTATCTACCAATTTGAACGATAAATCCAAATAGGAATTTCCATCACCCAGCAAAGGTTAAGCTATAGGAACCACAACCACGAAACAACGGGTGTAGTGATTTGCCTTCACTGGGAGAGATTCTGTATGTGGTAATTGTTTAAATCTTGCTCACAAGGGTTTCAATTGCATGTTACATGTTGGTTGAAAATATTTTTTTTGTTTATTCTTATTGCTAGTTTATAGTTTTGGATGGTGGTAATTTTTCATGTCATGTTGCCAAGCTGTACAAGAATGTCTTGGGAGTTGGGACTATTTTAGAGAATATTGGGAATCAAGAATGTGTTTGATTGTGTTAACTGTGTTGTGATTTGATATAAATTTATTGGGATGCCTCTGTTGCTAAAAGTGAATACATTAATGAATTCCAGGTGACGAGCTTCTCTCGGACTCATTCCCGTACAAGGAAATCGAAAATGGAATGTTGTGGGAAGTAGAAGGAAAGGTAGGGGTTATTTATTTATTTACATCTCAAAACTCTTATCTTTTAAATTTCAATGAGTGGTCTTGCCGTAAGATGAAGAGTGCAACACGACCTTTTGCATATACTCTGTTAATGTACACTAAACCTAACCCACTAACCTAACCCACTACATCCACCCCACTAAAACCTACCACTACACACCTCCACTACTTCTCACCCACTCCACCTACCACCTCCACTTTACCTACTACCACCACCCACTCTACACCTACTACTCCCAAAACCTCTCTATATATAGGACTTGTAATATACAGATAAAACACCGGCGGGCGGCAGCCTCGCCTTGGCCGCCCGCCGGACCTCTACACATACCTTGAAATTTTCTTTTCTTCAACCTGCTGCGTGCACAAACCACAGACAGCACACATACATTTCTCTCTCTCTGTGATTTCATCAGAGCCCTTCATCACACTCATCTTAAACTTGTTCACGTCCTCATGGATCTCGAACCGGGCACCATGGACAGCGTCCGCTCCGGTCCCTACGGCCAGATCTTTCGACCCGACAACTTCGTCTTCGGCCAGTCCGGCGCCGGCAACAATTGGGCCAAAGGTCACTCCCAGCTTTGGAAGATTTGCACCATTTGATTTCTGACACCATGAGTGGTGTCACCTGTCACCTCCGGCCCCGGCGCCACCCACAAGTCAGCGGCCTCGCCGACGCCTTGCTCGACAGCGTCCCCGTTGTGGCCATCACTGGTCCAGTCTCTCCCTCTCGGCATCCACACACATATGCAACAACCACTCTCTCTCTTCCTGGGCGTCAATCTCAGGCCTCTCTCTCTGCACCTGGTCTCTCTCTCTCTGTGTGTTCAATTCCGGTGAGTTGACTTCTTTACACTCTCGGAGCCTTCACGCTAGGGGCCATGAAAAATGGTCACAGCTGCATGTTCTCTCTCTCTCGGCAGATTTGAGAGTAAAACAACCAAACACCATTTTGAACACTCTCTCTCTCAGTACACGGGTTCTCTTTTTTTTTCCCAACACACACCCAGATACCTGCATACACACATACACGGGTTATCTCTTTTTTCTCTCTCTCTCTCTCTCTCTCTCTCTCTCTAGTTGCTTAATTGGGATGTAGTGGTGTGGTGCTTCTTTTTTCTTTTATTATTAAACAGTTAGTTGGTGAGCCCCTTTTACACCCATGTTTCCCACTACTCACATACTCACCGTATAAAGAACATTTTCTTCACTTTCCCAGTTGCCCAACTCTGGCACTTTCCTCTTTGTTTAATCTATCCCCTTCCACCACTTTTATCTTTTATCTATTTTTTTTTTTTTTTTGTTGTGATGTTTATTACATATTTTTATAGTAAATATTTGTTGGCTACATATTTTGTAAAAGCCAGTTACAGTTCGACACGTGGCAGAGTAAGGGTAATAAAGGGAGGTTATTCAAGCCTTTAATCCTGATCGTACACGTGGCAATAAATATTGGTCCTCACATGATCTGAGTAACACTAGATCAATAACGGGATGCAAGATGACATATCTTCAACGGTTACTCATATTCAAATTCAAGTACAAGAGGGAAACTCAACTGCCAGTAATGGCGTAATGGAGCTACTTGTAAGGAAGCATGATCAGCGATCATGGAGGAGCAGTTCGACGGTTCGAAGTGCAGTTCGAAGGTCATCACTGACGAGTATAAATAGCAGGGCAGCCCCCAGAAAAAAGGACGGACTCAGATCATACAAATCAGTCATTTACTTCATATATTTTCTTTTCCAGTCTTTTACATTTATAATAAAGGCAAATTAATTTGCGAAGTAAAATAATATGAAATTTAAAGTTGCAAGAATGTAAATCAGTGATGAGCAGTATGAATGTAAATCATAGTATCAAGATGTGTGTTGTCGAGTGAGAAAGGGGAGACTAAAGCTGATACAGGGACATAAAGAATGAATTGTAATTGTTTAATGAATTCCTTTGGGAGTATTAGGTTACTTATACAGTAGAAACATAAAGTAAGACAAGATGTCACTTATACAGGGAATGGAGGGCCAAATAAAACATGGAGAGTCCAGCTACTTCAGAGCCATGAAAGTTTTTGTAGAGCAGGCCTTATACACACTGTATTTATTCTTTAAATTTTGCAGGGTCATGACCCTCCCTAACTACCCGCTTCCTCCTCCCCTAGATATAGGCTGGCTGTTAGTTTTTGGGTGGTTTTATGTATATGGGTTCCAGAGTCTTAAAAAAGCTCGCAAGTTAATTAGTTTATTTAGTTCTCTTCGGCTTATTGCCCACCTCTTTAATCTTGCACCTGAAGCAACCTCTCCTTCTCTCTTAGTTGACGGGAACAATTTTTTTTTTTTTTTTGTTAATTTTTTTTTTTATATTTTAAATTTGGCGGACTTGTGTTTGGAACATTTGACAAATGATGATCCATTGGCCTTTTCTTCTTAAGAAACCCCTGCTTTGTCCTTGTCCTTGTCCTTGAGTAACATGATAGATTGTCTTGGTACTTGATGTTTCATGAATGCATTATATTGTAGTTCCAGCATAGCATTGTTTAACTATCTACTAATAAGTGTGTATTCCACTGCTACGGTAAATCCGCCGTGAGATAATGACACAAAACTGTCCCTTTTACTTCCCAAATAGACCTTGCCACCTTGGTCATGTAGTACTTGTGGATGCAGAGTTGCATTAGCCTTCTCAGTAACCTCCATTGCCCTGGTTTTATCTACCAATTTGAACGATAAATCCAAATAGGAATTTCCATCACCCAGCAAAGGTTAAGCTATAGGAACCACAACCACGAAACAACGGGTGTAGTGATTTGCCTTCACTGGGAGAGATTCTGTATGTGGTAATTGTTTAAATCTTGCTCACAAGGGTTTCAATTGCATGTTACATGTTGGTTGAAAATATTTTTTTTGTTTATTCTTATTGCTAGTTTATAGTTTTGGATGGTGGTAATTTTTCATGTCATGTTGCCAAGCTGTACAAGAATGTCTTGGGACTATTTTAGAGAATATTGGGAATCAAGAATGAGTTTGATCGTGTTAACTGTGTTGTGATTTGATATAAATTTATTGGGATGCCTCTGTTGCTAAAAGTGAATACATTAATGAATTCCAGGTGACGAGCTTCTCTCAGACTCATTCCCGTACAAGGAAATCGAAAATGGAATGTTGTGGGAAGTAGAAGGAAAGGTAGGGGTTATTTATTTATTTACTTCTCAAAACTCTTATCTTTTAAATTTCAATGAGTGGTCTTGCCGTAAGATGAAGAGTGCAACACGACCTTTTGCATATACTCTATGTTTTGACAGCCTATAGTGCATGCACCATTACAAATATAACCTTACCATTTGCGTACATGTTGCAGTGGGTGGTTCAAGGAGGTGTAAATGTAGATATTGGGGCTAATCCTTCTGCTGAAGGTGGAGATGAAGATGAAGGTGTCGATGACCAAGCTAAAAAGGTCGTTGATATTGTTGATACTTTCAGGCTCCAGGTAACTAAAGTCATCTGTCATAGTTTCAATCAATATTTTACATACTCTATGTTTTGACAGCCTATGGTGCATGCACCATAACAAATATAACCTTGCCATTTGCGTACGTGTTGCAGTGGGTGGTTCAAGGAGGTGTAAATGTAGATATTGGGGCTAATCCTTCTGCTGAAGGTGGAGATGAAGATGAAGGTGTCGATGACCAAGCTAAAAAGGTCGTTGATATTGTTGATACTTTCAGGCTCCAGGTAACTAAAGTCATCTGTCATAGTTTCACTGTTTTGTATTTTTTTTTCTATTAATATTTAAAACTAGAGGTTCATCATTATTCGCAGGAGCAACCTCCATTTGACAAGAAGCAGTTTGTTGCATTCGTGAAGAAGTACATTAAGTTGCTGACACCTAAGCTGGAAGCAGACAAGCAAGAGTTGTTTAAGAAGAACATTGAGGGAGCAACTAAGTTCCTTCTTTCAAAGCTCAGTGACCTACAATTGTATGTGTACCTATTTTCTGATCTATAGCTAGATTTGTGACTGACTTGCATGAATTCACACTTTCAACTACAATTTTCTCTAATTGTATAACCAATTGTTCTTTTTTTTTTTTTTTTGTGTGCTACAGTTTTGTAGGGGAGAGCATGCATGATGATGGGACTATGGTGTTTGCATATTATAAAGAAGGTGCCACCGATCCAACTTTTCTGTATTTCAGCTATGGACTGAACGAGGTGAAGTGCTAAGCTAATGCAGTTAGCTCCAAACTGGAGGTGCTTGCTGTGTAGTTAAGTTACGAGTGTTTTTTCTTTTTGTTTTTTTTTTAACTTTTGGTCTCATGGGGAGTAGAAGTATTTTGAGAGCCAGTGGATTAGTTGTTTTTGCATTACATATAGTTTTATGTTGACCTGAATACGTACCCTTTGGTTGGGTTCAGTAATAAATTTATAAATTTATAGTGATTTTTGTGAATGATTTATTGGCTTATCCTACTTGCTTAGAACCAGGTTTGAGAATAATTTTGGAACACTACAAACTTCCCCCATTAGTGCAATGGGATGAATGCCTGAGAATATTCTTGATTGGCCAGCTCTAGATTGCCTCAGAGAATGGGATGCCTAATTGAGTTTCTAGCATGAATGTTGTGATAGTAGTTTAATAAGGCAGCATTGAAATCCAAGTGCTCTGCTGTGGTATGCACTTGGTGAATTCTGGCTATTTCATTGTAATCCTAATCATTCGATTATGTGAAGAATTTAGGGACACAAATCTTCAGAAACAATCCTTAAGACACGAGAACAGAGAGATTTGAAGATAGACTTCTCTTGTTGATTTTGTTTATTTGTCTACTTTTTCTGAATGAAATGCCAGGAGTTATAATATGCAAGTAAAAGAGCCTTTGCATACGAATATATGGATTATGGACAAACATGGTATCATCACAACTTCTCTATTTTTTAATGAGCAAATTACAAACAAGTGGAATGTGAAAAAGTATTTACAATTTACAATTTTGTTGGTTCCATGCATATTTTTTTGAAGTGACAATTTTGACTGAAACCTATTTTCTGTCTCAGCCTTTCTTATTCTCTTTATTCCTTCTCTCTTCTTTACTCCTCTTATTGTCTCTCTCATCTTTTTGTCTCTTCTTTTTCTTCGTCCCCCTAACTTTTCTTTCTCTTTTACGACTTTTTGTGTTAATGTCTCTCTTCTTCATCACCGACCCATAAACTCTTCAGCTTATTTGGTTCTCATCCCCAGTGGTGATGCCAACCTTTTGTTGACAACTCTCATGATCTACAAATTCATCCTCATAATAATCATACTTGACTTGTCCTTTATTTCTATCTTTTTCCTATGTATTCTGAGCATCCAAACAAAGCGTGTTATCTGAAATATATTCAGGGTCGTCTTATAGTTTGAGATTTGTGTCACTTTGGTTTTGATTTTTCAGTTTTGACACATTTGATTATGAATTTTAAATCTTGTTCCAAATAAGAATAATTGAAGATACTATTGGATTTTTCAAGGACAAAATTGTGAATTTGATAAAATATAAACTAATTTGACAAAAATGAATGTCAAAAAAATATTTTTGAATTTTTAAAAATTATTTTTATCCACTAAAGATAAAATTATGTAAAATTAATAAATCTTTTAGACATTTATTTATTTTTTTACCAAATTAATTTTTATTATGTTTTTGGATGATGATCATGTAAAATTAATCATGTAATTCTTATTAATTTTTATCAATTTTACATAATTTTATCTTTGGTGGATAGAAATAATTTTTAAAATTTTCAAAATATTTTTTGACATTTATTTGTCAAATTAGTTTTTATTTTATCAAATTGACTATTTTGCCCTTGAAATTAAGTAATGGTATCTTCAATAATCTTTATTTGGAACAAGATTTAAAATTTAAGATCAAATATGTTACAATTAAAAAGTTAAAGACTAAAATGACACGAACCTCAAATTACATGGCCTATTAGTGTAATTTACCCAAAATTCAAAGAGTAAGCCAATGACAGGACCAATACATTATACATTGAGATTGATAGAAGAGATAGGATGCAACAAATTCGCCATCACTGTCAAAATGCCTACTAGACAACTTGTTTTGGGACAAAATTAAATATTACAGAAAATATTTTACCACCTTAATTATTGAATTATTAAAGAAACTCTTAGCATGCCAAATTTTACAAATTAAATTTTTTTTTTTGAGGACAGAAAACATGAAAGGGAAATGATAAGAACTCAATAATACAGCTTCTAAAAGATTAAATTTTACACTTGATCCTATTTTATTGCACAATTAATTGATTAGAACTGGCACATAGTTTGGGGTTTGTTTTGATAATCTGAGCTGTTTACTTTTTAAGATATATTGAGTAGAATATATTTATAAAAAATCAAGTTGATTGTATATCGTTAACCATTTCATCTAATTGCATTTGTATTTACAAAAATGAATAGCAAATTTGATTTAAAGTATAAAATTAAATACAATTATGATTTGATGAAAGGATTATTAATATCCGATCAATTTAATTTTTTGTTGATATGTTCTACTCGATATACCTTAAAAAGTGAATGGTTCGATTCGAACCATCAAAATGTGCCCAGATGGTTGCACAGTAGCCACACCATTTCCATGATTTGGGTAAAAATTTAGAAAAAAAAAATAAAAAAAGTAAATAAAATATGAATGAAATATAATTATATTTAATCTGCATTTCACACAGACTTTCTCTTTCCTTTTCAAAATTTCTATTCAAAACATAGCCTAAAAGTTAATTACTTTAAGTATTATAAATCTTCTCAATAGTTCAATAATCCGTTGTCGTCCAGCGGTTAGGATATCTGGCTTTCACCCAGGAGACCCGGGTTCGATTCCCGGCAACGGAACCTTTTTTAAAATCTGCAATTTTTAATCTGTATTATTTGATTATTAGTAATTTTTTTAGATACACTTAAAATTTGTAAAAAAAATCTGTAAAAAATCCACTGAATACAAAAATTCAATATATTTTTCTAATTTTTTTATATTTATTATTGAAAAAAATTAGATTTCTTCATAATTTTTTTTAAAAACTTTTTAAATACATTTAAATTAAATGCATTTAAAAAAATTAATTAAAATATGAAAGAAATTCACCAAACAATAAAACACGAAAAATAAAAAAGTTGAAAAACTCAAAAATTATTTTTAAAAATTCGAAACCAAACAAATATTTTTACAAGATTTATGTTATATATTCATACATACATCAGGTTTTTGTGTAAAGAAAACACAAACTTTTTGAAAATTTCTTTTTATTCATCTGACATGTTTATCATTTTTTTAAATCACATTTGAATTTTTTTAAAGTGTGGAATTGGCAATTTTATGTTGTTATCAACACGTTACAAGGACGAATTCAGGATTATCACTATAGATATGCGAAAGTATGTTTTTTGGAATGTAAATCCTTATAATTTTAAATTATTTTAAATCTTATAATATAATATATAATATTTTTTGAATTTTTGAGCACATTATATTACAAATGAGCAAAAAATTGAAAATTAAACCTTGTTGCAAATAAATATGCTTTCAAGGGATGATCTTAAATGCATTTTAGATGTGACTTATTTGTTAAGTTGGAATGTGATAATATATAAGTATTCTTGTTCCGACTTTAGAGAATAATCAATGTTTATTTAATTATTTAAATTATTTTGTGGCATAAGTTGTAAGCACCGACGACTTGACACGGAATTTAAAATTAAAAAAAAAAAATTCTAAACTAGCCAATTTAAAACAGTGTAGCTAGGACGATTATCAACAATAAAAGCACAGCTGGGGAAATTTTATAGTTTAGAGAATAGAATTAAAATTAAAATAATTAAGATTGTGTGTGATAAATTTGAATAGCATTGAAACCAACAAAAGAGAAAAATGGAAATTGCATTTAGAGGAAAGATTCATGGTAAACATGTGAGTATGACCCATTAGTAGCCTTTTGTGTTCATAAATTTTGTTCAACCAATATCAACCAAGAAGGGTTCCTTCTTTAAAATTATGTACTACTTTTAAAGGTAAAATTATAAATCTGTTTTAAGATTATGTTAAATTTTAGTAATTCATTCAAACTGCTCCTTTAAATACTTAGATTATGGAAGATTACACGAATACAGTCAGAAATATAATTAACTTTTGGATAAATTTAATCACGTAGAATTTTCACCATGAAATGTAGCATGAAAAATTATGTGTGGTTTAAATTTAATTGTTGTATGGTGGATCATATACTTGGATTAAATCTAGACTACATGTTGATTTTTCTAGATAAATTTGTTATGTATGTAGTATTCCTGTAATTATTTAGTATTTAATCTGCTAATTTTTATCTTTCAACAATTATAACAGTTATATTTCAATATAGTTTCAAAATAATTATAGGCAAGACTACAAAAAGCATTTCAAAATCAATGAATGCATTTAGAGAAAAAGTGACATATTGGAGGAAACCAAATATGGAAAAATATGCATGACGAGGTTAGACTTTTTTTTTATTTATTTTTTATAATTATTTTGTTCTTTTAATATCTTAAACATTATAATTCTGTTATCTATGCTTGATTCATATTGCATAATTGTATATTAATGTTTTAATCTGTTATTTTTGTTTTGTCGATGTTCATTTTATGTTCGAATAAAATATATATTTGACTTCTTGTTAATCATTCACTAATTTTTTTTTAATTAACAGATTGACATGCTAACCAATTGAATTTCAATTTTTTTCTAAGTTATATATATATATATATATATGCAACTCATTTTAATAATTAAAATCGTTCAATTTGTAAGGTCATTTTTTTTAGATGATATACATAAAGGGTGTGTTTGATTGGACAGACTGGATAAGGGAAGATTAGAATCCATTGGAGTTGAATCCTAGCACTGTGAATCTCCCGGACTATTTGGTTGGATTGGATGTGTATCCCGTGTTTGTTTTCTCATGGGATTAGATGTCTAGAAATGACTATTTTTAGTAAATCCAATATTTGGTTCGAATGACTGGATAGGGTAAATGAGCAAATGACTATTTTACCCATTTTCAATTGTTTACTAAGTAATAGCAATATTAAACATATCTTTAATATTTTAATTATTTTTAGTTGGATTAAATAAAAATTTATTTTATTTTATTTTTTACACAATTAAATAAATTTATTTTTAAAAATAGTAATAATTAATTAATGAAATTATATAAAACATCTATAAAATTAAAAAAATGAAATTAAATAAATTATAAACAAAATTTTAAAATAAAACATGAATAAAATATCTATAAAAAAATATTTTAAAAAATTAAATAAATAAAACATCAATAAAAAGTTAAATAAAATTATTTTATTTTTAAATTGAGACATTTAAATTTTATTGAATTTTACAAAATATAATACATAATTAAATA